GTTCAGATATAATTATTTAAAAGATCTGCTAAATCATTGTTCTATGAAACAATAATCTACTGAAAATGAACTTGTCAACCAAATTTATGAAAAAGTATGAGCCAAATCCTTGCAATAATGCATATCAACTTTCAATAATAACAAAAACAAGTCTGGGAAGACTTTTGCAAACAAAATTTTTGAAATCATATACAAAGAATAACTATTTATCAATATATGGTAAAAGCCTGGATCACTAATGCTTTACTTCTTTAACAAATGATCTAAACAGAAAATGTGTCAGATGACGAGTAGCATCTTGAGTAATGATCCTTCAAGCAATGATTTCAAAATCTGTTTAGGTAACCTATGCCACACAATCGGCACAGGAAATAATAAAATTTTAAAATCTGCCTTTGCTTCACTCTTATTAGCAAAGCCTGGCAACAAGTGATTTTTGAAGGACTATAAAACAGGGTTGCCACTCAAACAGAATGAAATTCTCCGACTTTTCCAGGTATGTTTCGAGAAAATTCCAGTCTATCCGCGTAATGTACGTTGGCTGTGCTAAGAGGTAAATTAATTATGTTATTACTTGTACTGTGTAGCAAATTCACTTAATTATTCAATAAATCCCAGAGGACATTTATTCCTAACCCGCGAGCACACGCACCGATCCAACGAACACGAGAACACGTGCCGGGTATGTCATACCCGAATAAAAAAGTTGTAAATAAAAATTTGCCGAAAAAAATTAATCGGTTTTTTAAAAGAAACTAAATTGTAAAACCAAGTTAATACTTCATGTTAGACAATATAGGAAAAAATAAGGAGAGGAAAAATTATTTACTTACAATTTTTTTAACATTGTTTACAAAATGCGGTCATATGTTCCATACATATACTTTTGCTACAATTTTCACAAATGAATCTAGTCTTTCTATCTTTTTCTTGGAGCACTCTGTACACCTCTTGTAAGTCATTTTACATTTTTTGGAGGGCGGTCCATTGTTAACATGTTCATCGGTGGTCAGTGTTCGTCCCGAATCAGGAACCACAGATGCTCGTCGTCGTTCATTTTGAACATTTTCTATTAGCTGTATCCCTAAGGTTTTGAGAAAAGTACTCATCCCGTTCATGAGTGAAATTTTCTCGTATTGAATCAATATAAATATCTGTATTGTCAACTAAGGACTCTAAAGGTGTTGAGACGTCTTTAGAATACTTTGTATTTCCAGGGAGTTTAGTTTTATAATATTTTTGGCGCCAATTCTAACATTAGTCTGGAATTTATTTTTGTTCCATTTTACTCCATTTTTTCCCAACATGGAACTCATTGCTACATTCCAGAGTTTCATTTTCTGTTTCTGTATCTGAATCACTACTCTTTATGGATGAATCATGATTACTAATTATATTCTTCGTCATCAACATCTTCCTCTTCTTCACTAAATGAATCCTCATCAGAAGAAATTGTTTCAAGGAGATTTCTCAATCTTTTCATCTCTTTATCGGAAGGAATATACGGCGCCATGCTTACAACTCAAGAAAAACTTATACTAAAAGCTTGAAAACGAGAAGTGCGAAGTGACTCACTGAGAAACGCCAGTACACGCGCGGGTTTGACATGCCCGAACAATGCTGGTCCTAAAAAACCGTTGCACTTGCTACCTCAGGAATTTTCCCCATTTAAGTATGTGACCTTGAACTCAGCTACACCAAGTTTCGTCCTTTTATGAAAGAATGGGTGAGAAATATACAAAAAGAAAAATGTACATGGGTATGACATACCCGCCGCGTGTGCTCGCGGGTTATTTATTCTTGGTACACTTTGTTTCATAATTTTGTTTACTTTTCCACTTAAGAAACTTAATAAAATTAATATTAAGATATATACATTGGATAACAATTCTATGTTTTATTTAATTATTACTCATGATCATCACCAGTTCAACATGAGGCTAATCCGGTTCTTATAAATCACAATGCAATGCTAAAAGTTAGGTTAGATTTTAGGTAAATTTAATTTGTGTGAGGTGTCTTCTTAAAAGGCACCTTAACACTTGAAAACACAAATATAATTATGATAGGAGTTGTTTTCTCCACTGAAGATTGAGATTAGAATCTTCCCAATCTGGAATAAAAAAGGCTTTTTTTGCAGACATTCTGCAGCTAAATGAAAGAAAGAAATCTATTTAATGATATTTTTTTACTAAATTGAGGTATTTTATATTTATTTCACAGCATGCATAAGGAAAAAATATGTGCGTTAAATTTCGTGATGTCATCATACTGCTAGAATTAATTTCAGGATTATGCTAGAGAAAATTTCCTGAAATTTGGAAATATTATTCACTAATGATAAATAAATTTAGAGGGAAGAAGCAACATTAATGATATGAATAACATAAAAATAAAGATAATTACTTAAAAATTGAATTAGAATAAACAATGATATTTTAGCGAATACAGTTATATTACATGGTTAGCCTAGATAACCGATTACTATTTTTTTATTTTACTGCAAAATGACAAGGTATTTATTAAAAAGAAAAGAAAAAAAAAGATTTTGCAGTAAAATCCTAGTATATGGTACGGCCTTCGTACGATTTTGAAAATTGTCGCCAAGAACAAAATGACTCGTTTACTACTCATAATCATGTCGCCAAATCCCGCTGTACCATACATGGAGATTATTATAACCAAAGAACGTATATGTAAAGAAGAAAAGGTTCCATACACGTAAATGCTATTACGCGGCTAGAAAGCGGAGGGAAAATTTGCCAAGGGATTTGGCGATGGAACCTGGCAGCCAGAATTTCCCTCTCCGCGATGTGTACAGGAAATTGAGAAACACGTGTTAAGAAGAAACGTTCTTTGACAAAAAAGAAAACTACGAAAATATGTTTTTAAATTATTTGCGAAAAATCCAAGAAGAAATGTTTTATCAAAGAACGTTTTTTCTTGGATTTTTCACAATAATTTTATAAACGGATTTTCGTAGTTTTTTTCCCCTCCCCCTCAAAATAACTAATCTATGAATTAATTTACTTGCGCCAAAAAATATTTTCTTTTCCTTTTGAGTTTAAAGAAATTTTAAACGATATTCATTTTATGAATTCTTGATAACGTGACCTTCGAACTTCAACACCAGTTTCAAGCTTTGGCGACAGATCCCTCATGCATGCTGTTTATCGCACATGCACAGCTGTTTCCCTCTATGATGGAATGGAGCCACGTCTGTTGCACAGAGGTTTTCTTTCTTTACAATACATATTTTTTTATTCTAACCATCATGGTACTGTATACTAGGATTAAACCCATTTTGTTTTATACGAGAACAGGTACTTTCTTTAGTTCATGCACTGCACATGCGATTCTCGAGGTTACTGGAAACCAAAAGTTGCGAGAAACTTGATTTGCCTTTCTAAGACAATCAAATTGGAGCTGCGAAAATTGGCTCTATGCCAGCTGCCCGAATGACACTCACGTGATACACAATTCGCCAAAAAAGTGATCTCTCCGACGTTGGCGCAAACCTCACCTTTTTTGGCGGGATCGTTGTATGAAATTCCGACTTTTCCAGATTTTGACTAAAACACTTGAATTCCCTGACTTTTTCCGGTTTTCCAGGTAGCGTGGCAACCCTGATAAAATCAACCTGGAGGAAATTATGACCGGATTTGGGTTACAAGCAGACACTTTTAAGCACTTAGTATTTAGGATGTTTTTTTGTTATTTATATCAGGGTTATTTAAGCTTTTTTCAGTTGCAACTGAGATTTTTTGCGACCCCACAATTATTGAGCAAATTCGACACACGCATGAGTAAAACTCTCAATTTTTTTTCACTTGTCCTGTAATACAACACTATTGCAGTTTTAGGTCATTTCCTACTTTAATTTCTAATTTTAAGACATAGAACAATGTGAAATATTTAAATAAGTAAGACAAAATGACAGCATCGCATGCAAAGCAAGGAAAATGAATGTTTATATTATAAAAAGTTTGCGTCGAAACATTTTCATTTTTTTGTATTGTCTTATCCTTATCTATTTTCAGACACATTGTGTAAAAATATTCGGTAATTGTAAAATTATTATAATAAGTTAAAGAAGTATAAAACATGCTAAAATTTTTGGCGACCCCTTGCCCCACAGTTTAAGAAACCCTGATTTATATGTTAAGTTTCAAGATAAGAGATGCTAAATTTTCATGTAGCAATAACATCATAAGCATTTTCCGTGACAAAAACATGTCTCACTTTAAACATAATAAGCAAATCCCATTGGACAACTGAACGAAACAGAAGTCAGTAGGTCTCGAAGTCAAGAAGCACCGAGAGAAAAAGAAAAGATAAAAGATGTTTTCTAATTATCAACTGTATTATTCGAAGGAAATTTCACATCCTTTACTACTTATGCCATAGACTTCCTTTGAACAGATAGATCGAAATTAAATTTTCAATATTTAATTTGTTTACTGTCATGTTTAGCCTTTTCTCTCATATTTACCGATTTCCATTGGTTTTATCGAAATGAAAACTAAATAGAAGGAAAATACAAAAATAAAGCATGGTAAAACAGAGCATTTCTCTCAATTTCATAAAAATTTACAGGACTACTTTGAGAAAACTTCAAAACAAGTAAAAGTCAGAATAGGTTTACAAAATTCATAGCCATACGGGAAATCTCCGTGTATGCTTGTATTTGCAGAAAGCTAAATATTACTTCCCCCCCTTTCTGAATGGTACTTTAATTCATATTCAGAAAATACAGTTTTGACATGTGATCGATTAACTGTAATAATGGCAATGTGTGAATACAGATCTTCAGAGATGAACAATGAATGTTTTTAATTGTATATAATGAAATATTTACTCTCAACTGTTTTTGTTACTACACACTTGTCTGAATCAGATCAGGTCCACAAAGTATTATTGCGAAAAGATGTACTAGATTACATGTCATCAAATGATAATAGTATAGTTAAAAATTTCTTTAAAATTGAATTAAAACAATATCTGTTATTAATCTTTATTCAGGAATATTAAGAATTAAATGCAATATGACATATTTTACATGCATGCAGAATAATCATAACAGTGTTATTAAGGAAAAAAAACATACAACAGTTGTAACTAAAAAATTTATTACATTAAAAGTATATATATAATATGAATGAAACTTTTTTCACTAAAAACAGATGAGAATCAACACTGCAAGTAGTGCTTTTGTAACATTAATTTTATGGATTGTTTTGCCTTTGCAATTATGCAATTTTTCCAAATAAAAAATCAAATATGTAGAAGTGTACAGAAAACAATTCCAGATTACATGAAGAATATCAACAGCATATTACTGGGGGGGGGAAGCTTTCTGTATCAAATATTTTTGTTTTATTGATAAATTACTCTTTGCTAAGGTGTCATTGAAATAGCTAAAAACAGACAGTTTTACAGTAATCTAAAGTGAAATGCGAACAAAAATAACTGTTTTAGTAATATTAGGAATAATATTTGCAGATACTGTATTTTACATATTAAATATAATTAATTTTATTTCTTTGAATAGGTTTGAACAATATGGAATAAGAGGGGAAAGAATCAGAACAGATAAGGACAATTTTCACAAGGAAAAGAATTTTTTTTTTTTTTTTAAATTTTATTTTTTATTTATGAACATTGTAGAAATAAAACACAAGCTTTAATGAAATTAGGATTTAATAAGCAAATTTTGTATTTAATAAGCAAAATCTTGCTTTTGCAATACCAAACAAAACAAAGGCGGGGTTAAAAGTTCTGTTGTTTTGACACAAGTTCCACTTTACTAATACAAAGACTAAACAATGGGATGTGAAATGCATAGACTGACATGATGTGGATGATCTCCAAGCTTAGTAAAAACGAACTTGTATAGCTCGGCCTTCCATTCTATAGCCATTCATTAAATCTAAGACATATTAAGGAAAATAAGGTGCAGCTTTCAGAAAATTATATAAATATTTCAAACATTAGATTTCAATGAAAAAAGGAAGCATTTTAATAACATTTAACTTCAAGCATCTTGTATATTAACATCACTATAAAAATAAAGGAGGGCCAAATTATTTCTTTCCTACTAAAATAAAAAAAGAAATCAAAGGCAATGTTTTGCATTTTGCATTTAAAACAAGATAAGGTTTTTTTTTCATACATTCTATGAGGGTTCTTTCGAAAGTTCATTGTGTAAAAGAAAATGGAGGCAGATATAGACAAAGACACATATTTGATAATAATTTACAAACAAAACACTATTTTAGCATAGTCACTCAGCACATTAAGCTATTTATCACATCAAGAAACAAGGTTTTGTATGCCAGTAATATATAAGGTTAACCAAGATGTTACAGCATCTTTAAGATCTCCATCGTGATCATCAATACACCGGCCACTCGAGAATCGCCTCAAGTGTAAAAATAAATGTCACTACCAGATCAAGGCTATATGGCAGACAATATATTTGTTCCCAATTAAAAGACTCGATGAGACCTTGAATTCCACAAGTGAAATGTGGCCTGCTATTATCATGAAAAATCACTTGCTGCCAGATCAGGTCTATATGGCAGATAATTCACTGAATATTTTATCTCGGGGTGCTAAATCTACCAATATGAGACCTTTTCTGTCCCACATGATTTTGCATATGGAAGCAGTCTGAACAAAGTGTTCAACCGTAATTTCATACAGAATGGCACGCAAAACTGCAGGAAATGGTTTTGACAGCAAAAAGGTGATATTGTGAAAAGTCCATTCACATTAATGAATCAGTTCATCATTCACAGCAGATGGCCGTTTATTGCACATTTGTCCTACTTGAAACAATCGAACCCATTACCTAATTATTCCTTGCTCATAACTGTATTGCCGTATACCTCTCAGATTTGCCTATGAATTTTGAATGATTGCATATTCCTTGCATTCAAAAAGCAAACTATAGAATGAATTATACAGTCGGCAGGATCTTTCATAGTCTTTAACATCTTTAGCACAAAATTTACACATGTCAGCATTTTGTTATGTGAACTTTTCTATTATAATGCATTCTTTAGTCATCAAATATATGATACTATAAAGGGCAAAATCTGGTGGGTCCAGGAATTATTACATTCTGAATCTTGCTTTCTAAATAACCCTCACAAATAAATAAAGTTTTAGAAATCGGCAAAATATAGAACTGACACACTTTACAAATATTTATTAGCATTTCAAAACTATAAAAGGATACCAACAGCACGTTGTGCATCTTGAACAGAACCAAATCTTATTATAGCATTTCCCTGCCCTTTGAGTTCAGCAAATCGAACATCTCCTAGGAAGGAAAGAAAATATTAGTGGAGTCCAATCATTAAAACTGCTTATTTCAGAAATAAAGTCTTATTAAAATAAAGTGCATAGTATAAGAAGATAGCAATAGTCTAAGTAAATAAAAAGTTATCTTTAAATTAGAAATATCAAGTGCAAAATCACCAATGAGTTGGAAAACAAAGCATTCAATGCATTAAAAAATCAAGAGACTGACATTTCACATCTAGAATACTATTATTGAATAAAATTCAGCAAGCCCTTGGAGCCTCATTCATTTTAGAAAAGATTTCACAGCACATAATGCGATATATATATATATGTATATATACTTACTTTTCTTTAAAAACACTTTTGCAGACCCCAACACTCATATAGAAGGTAAGTTAGAATTAAAACTTACTATTTACTTGCTTTAAGTATTTTTTAAAATTTTCTTTATGTAGTATTTAAATATTTTCTAAATATGAAATTATATTTTTAAGTATATATTTGCTTTTTAAAAATTGTAAATGAGTTCTTTTTGTTTCTTATTGGTTTATATGGATTATGTCTAGTTCTTTTTTAGTTTCTTTTTATTGATATGCATATTCGTGTCAGGGAGGTTTCTGTAGACAAGGGTTTCTAAAATATATTGGTTTCTAGATTATTTTTTATAAAAATTAATTTTTTTAAAAATTTAATTTTTTAAAAAAAGTTCAATTTAATACTTGACTTTACTTGCTTGTTTCTCAAAAGACTTCATTAGTATTTTCCTTTTAGAATTTTAATTCTTAAATGCTAATTTCTAAGGGTACCACTTTATTGGTATTTCTTTTTGGACATTCTTTACCTATGGTTTTGACTTTTACCCTTGCCTGCATGAATGACGAAACACGAATTGAATGATTGGAGAGTTAGGTTTGGAGGCAACTTTCCCTTGATAAGTCTGTCTCCTGCCTACTCAACAGTCATTCACTTATGCATTTAAAAAAAAAAAAAAAAAAATTGTTTGGATTAATTTTAATTTGCTGTGAATTTATTTTCATGGATTGTTTTTGCACTTGATTTGCTTATGCTTCTGAATTTAAATGATATTGTAGATTAGTTCGAGAATTAAATCATTTATATGTTTCCACATTTTTTAAAATTTTTTAAAATTATTTTGGCTTTCTTTTTTTAAATTTTGGCTTTAAATTTGCTCTTTTACTTTTATACGTGTTTGTTAAAATTTAAATTTGTTAAAATTTAAATTTCATTACTTGCAGCAATGGCACAAAGAATATTTAATTAAATTTGTATTTAAATTAAATTTATTCTTATATATGTATATGTATATATATAATTTCAAGAGCAGGAAAGGCGAATCTTCAGTTTTATTTTCAGCATCATCTTACCGCTACACACAAGTTGACACATTAATTGTGCCTGTTCCAAAAGGCTTACATTTTTGGTAACTTTGTAGCAAGAAAGCAGCAGCAGAGACAGCAGTCCAGTTAGGTCAAAGCGTGGAAAACAAGTGCGTAATGTTCAGGATGAAATCTTAAGTAAAACTGAGTTAGTTTTGGTTCTCAAAGCATTTTGATTGGATAGTATATATTGCTATAAAATTATTATTGGCTGCTTGAGTTTTAGTTCAATTTACATCACCAGAATTACGCAGGAGTCATATGACATAGATTTCTCTCAAAATGATGCAGTGCAAATAGATTCTGCTATTTTTAGAACAAAGGGAAATTAATTTATTCTTCTACATATTCTTTATTTTTCTAACATATATATAAATCATAATTCGGATCCCCCCCTCAATTTCACTTCTTCACCTACCCACTCTTCTCTAATCTCAATTTCTTGTGCATTTTGTAATGACATATTAATTCTACTACATCTCTAACAAGAGTATATAATTATTTGAACTTTTTCATCTCATATTTTTATACAAATGGAATTAGTTTGTTCTCGAAAATGCCTTCTCAGTTCACAATATACCAATTTTTCTTCTGTTCTAGTATACATATATCTTTGTATCTGATTTTAATTAAAAGCTTTTACTTTATAAATAAAAAAGGAGAGGATATAAACATTACATATTTTTAAAGAGCATTTTATATTCATCAATTTCATTTGCATTAAATAACTTTAAAATGTTAGAAGTTTCATTAAGCTATAAAAAAACTTTTTGATTACATCTGTTACATACTTATTGACCTAAGTTTGCACACAGCCAATCAAAGTTACACACAAATTAAGAATATTCAATCTATGTTGACTGCAGAAATTTATTTACAGTTGATTTTCATGATTTTTAGCTTCTGTAAGGGCTAGATTTAAAAGAGATATCCTTACTCAACCTGTTCCTATATATAACGAGTTAAATGTTTCCCTAATGCTGCAGTTACAATATTAAGAGATTATCCTGAAAGGATTAGCTTTTCAAACAAAGATCAATTTTAAAGTTATTTTCACAGGGACCTGAGATACATCTAATAAGGACACATAAATATTTCTTTATCCAGAAGCCATACAGTGATACCTTGGATCATGAACTTGAGGCACAAATTACCTGAACAAAAAAAGCCTTCAATGCCAAACAGAGTTATGAATACTCAAGTCAACAATATACAATTTTCAACAGTGATTTTAAGTAACCTATGGCAGATAAATTAACAATCAAAGACTCTTGGAAACACTGCAGGATGAAATCAGCCTAGAGGTAAGAGTGGCAAGATTGGACAGTAGGTAGACTTTCTATATTTACAATAGGTATGCTGTCTTTAGGAAAAACCATGAAATAAGAAGTTAACAATGAAGATGTGGAAAAGTCACTACATGACCTTAAAAATTAATAGCATTAAAAAGCAATTGCGGAAATAATGTCTTCAAAAGAAAAATAAATAAATAAATATATATATACATAAAGGAAAAAAAAAATATATATATATAATGATCCTACTTCTCTAATTGGAGAAATTTGTGCAAAATGGAGTAAGAAGCTAGTTTCCATGTATTGATATGACCCTGATAAAACCACAGCATCGTACAGCAAAAGCAGTTTCAATGACAATGCAATGTCTCACTTCGGGAACATTTTAAATTGTAGGCAATAACAAACAATGCTGAACAAATTTTGAGCGAAACAGAGCCTAGTAAGGCTCAGAGACAATAAAAAGATGATGACCTCTAAAGTGAGACAGCAGATGCTTTTACAGACAATAGCATCAAACATTAAAATCTTTTCAGCATTTTCCCACTTGCACCAACAACATTCCTTTTGACACAAACACACATTTGGGTCATGAAGACCTGCTGCTGTTAAAATTTAATAATTCTGTATAAAGTGTAAAATTTAAACAATAAATCATTTGTATTGCAGGAATGAATTAATCCATTTCTTATTAATTCCTATGGTTTCTTTACCTGAAAATTCTACCATATGATACTTAAAAATAAAAGAAAACTTACCAATATCTCGAAATCTGTCTTTAAGATTTTGCCAACTGAAAGAACTGGGGAGCTAAATAAATAAAATATTTAAATTTTTTACTTAGAAATACAACTAATATTGCATAATTATTTAATAAATCATTTTTTTCAATAACTCAAAATCCCTTAATTTAAAAAAAAAAGTTGATCTTTAATATTTTTTCATGCTGCATATTTCGGACTTAACTTTTTTTTTTAACTTCTAGTGATACATTATATAATATTCATATTTTATATGCTGGTCTGCTTCTGATTTTTTTAAGCTAAAGATAAATTCATTTCAGACTCTTAACCAAAATTAAAACAAGATTATCAAACAAGGAATTTTAAAGTATGTAATACACATCATCTTTGACTAAAGTTTCTATACTTTTTAAAATATTATACCATTATATTCAACACACTATAGAAATGATAAATTTTCAAAGTTAAAATAAATAAAAATTACCTCGATTTTTCATTAAGTACCTTGCCTGTTAGAACAGTTAAGCCCTTGCCAAAAACACAAGTTTATGCAAGTTTTCATTTTTGCACTGACTGTTAACTGCTACTTCACTACAAATTTACACATGACTATTTAAACCAAGAATGAATGAATGAACAAAATTAATCAATTAATCCCTTACTCTACCATTAAACTCCTCAAATTTTCTCTTTAATCAAAATTCTATGCAATGAATGTGACTCAAATAAATTCTATGTTCTTGTAGAATAATCTCAACTGGTTTAATACAAAAAATGGATTTCAACCTATTTTTTCTCATACATAATAAAAATTGCATTTTCCATGCATAAAAAGCAGCAATAAAAATGCACTGCTAACCATAAAATCTACAATACCAATATGAACAAGTGAAAACAAAACTCATTTTAGATTATTTACAATACAAAGATAAAATCATTAAAATTTCAAGGAGGATGAATAAACAAAACCATGAACAACATTAATCACCAATACACAGCCATGCAAAAAGAGATTTTAAATGGCATTTTAGGTTATTACACTCCAAGAACATATCAAATAAAACAGAGTTCATTTGTTGCAATCACTGGTCACGCCAACATCGTGACATCACAAAGAAGACATGTCAAATTCAGAAAAGATCTAGTGAATGCACAATACAACACAGAAACATAACCTGCTGTATGTTGAGAAAGGGTTGAAGGCTATCTGTAACCTATGGTCATGCAATATCCTGTTGGAAGTGCTCCTAAGATATGGGATAATCAGATCATGAAACCACAAATGCAATTTATGTCAGTTTGCCTATTTTTGACCGTCAATAGCCAACACATGATTTTCAAGATGACACGACATCACACCATATATGCAAGCATTTCTTGCAACGTCCAAATCTGAAAAATAGACTGCTTATCGTATATTGATCTATAACACAGATATTTCAATCTGTATGGGCCATTTATGCAAGATGTGCGTATTTTAAGCATTGATGCATCAAGGTTGCTATGGACCACCACTTTTGGTTCTATTCATGTGAATAAATTTAAATTTCCATCACAATATCATCGCTTGGATCTTTGTATGAATATCATCTTCATCACCTAAGAAAAAGCTCCAACTGAATACTGAAATGCCATTTTTACTGGATGTTTGGAAAAGCACCAATTGAATACTGAAATGCTGTTTATTTAACCACCTTAGCAACAATGAAATATTTTCATACCTTAGCAACAATGAAATGTTTTCATCATATTTCTTTTCATGTACCTTTTTGCTAGACCAGTGACTGAAAATTATCTTGCATGGTTGATTTTGTTACAAGTTGCCAATTCTTTTGAAGCGCTATCATTGCATCAAGAAGTGAAACATCACAACATATTTGTTGTACTTATCCAAAATGCTTCAAGCAACTTTCTATAATCATACTTCTGATCACACCTTGATCTAAAGTTGCAGGATCAAAGTTGCTTTAGGGGGGGGAACAATTCTAAGTTCCAATGCAATCCATTCTAAGTTTTTGACAAGTGAGTGCTAAGCGCACAATAAGTGCAGTTATCAAATAAAAGTAGAATCTCTTGCTTTTGCTTTTGCCTAAAGCAGTTTTAATATTATTCATGGCAGTAATAAGCTTGATAAAAAAAAAAAATTTTCATTTCTAAGCATCTTGGCGATTTAAATTTTCTATCAACAAAAGCCTCGGCACTCAGTGCCATTCATGTTGCTACTATGTTCGTATGAATTTTCATTTTGGACTTTTGAAAATTTTCAACAATGCATCTTTGGGCTTTAAATATTTAGTTTAGAATATCTGCTAGAACAGCCCAATTTCCACATTTTTCACAACAGCAGAAATTATCATGTAATGACTATTTCCCAATACCAAATTTAGATTTTGATAAATTATATTCTCTGTAGATATAGACTTAGCTACATCCATTACATTTTTTGAAAAACACCTTACAATTTTCCATACGGATGAAATTATGCCAACACAAAGAGAAGAAAATTAGGTCAAAAGATTTTGTCAAGTTTCACCCATCCAGAAAAACTGAACGATAATTTCATAATTAATCTGTTTTATCTAATGTCCAGTGAAAAAGCAGATATTTTCTCATAGAAGCACAGCTGCAAAGAAGAAGAGGGGAAACCCTCAAAAAGAACGTCTTAATCAGATCAGAAAAGATAAAAAATTGTCATTTACCAAAACAAAAATTCCCTGTATATCTCTATGCTCATACAGAGTTTGTAGCCATATTTTAGTTAAAAAAATAAGTACCTGTCAAATTACATTATACATGGGGCTCAGTATCACAATTTAAAGTTTTGAAAGTTTCAATGGTTCACCTGATATAACATATTTATGAAGCCTTTATTTATTTCTTATTTATGAAATAGAATTATAAACTTCAGTTCAAGCTAATATGAATATCAATCTGCAACATACTACTAAAATTACAGTACAGATAAGATTTCCGAAAATAATTCTTCTTCATATTATGAAGCAACATATTAAGAAAAAGCAGCAATATGGAATGCTGTATTTTAAAAATCACAGCTGTTTAGAATAAGCCTTTTGAGTATATACATCAAAAACAACCAATTCAAAAACTGAGCATTTAAGTCTGAAAACTAAATTTCAATGTAATAAATTATTTCGTACATTTTTCAAACAACTTTAATTTCACGAAGACCAACAAAATTTAGTTCTTCAAAATTTTCAATTAGTAACCTCATTAATAGATTAAAAATTAAACATTTTGCTCAGTTCGTTCAATTGATACACAAAAATCTTCTAAATCTGATATCAGACCATTAACCCCCACCCCCCCCCATAAAAAAGCAGACTTCCTGAAAAAATTGACACTACATACAACGTACTTGTAAAGGCGCGTCAAAGACAAAAGAGCTTAAAAAGCGTTTTTTTTTTTTTAGTCCAAAGGGGTTTTGCTCCTGAAGGACTATTGTTTTTGTTTTGCGATTTTGCGTTGGTTCACTATAAATGTCAGTTTCACTTTTCCAACCTGTTGCCACCAAATGTTAGAATCCTGCATTATATTTAAGAAATTAAATAATGAAAAATCTGCATATATGTATATTTCTTGCATTGTGATAAAACAAAGGTACATAGAGCCATTGAATTTTGAATGATGTAATCCTCCTGTGAATATGGGCATGTGGAAGCCCAAATTTGGAATTTGTTTTATTATCAATTTCATATTTTGTAAAACTAACGTATTTTTGATTAACAAATTCAAGAATTTCAAAGCAAGCAATTATCAACATTGTACAGAAAAAACATTTTTATCTCCAACGCACGAGACTATGTATCGAAAATTCTAAAGATATGCTCAATTTAAAACTATTTTGCGATATTGCCCTTGAACTGAATTTTATGGTTTAAGTGCAAAGAACGTGATATTTAATAAATAAAGATAGCAGACAAAATGTTAAAAAATTGCCCCTTTAGACATCATTTAAAATCTGAAACCTTTGAAATTTTGTTCTTCTTGAGTTGCATATATTATGTACATTGATGAGATTTTTCCTATAAGATTACATTGCAACAGAATGGGCACCTTTTAAATATGAAAGCACAAATGGACTTACATTTTTACTTTTTTTTTAAAATGACTGCAGCTTGTATACTCACTGATATACAAAGTGACGAGAAAACAGGACTGAAAATTTGTGTTCACCTTAATTTGTGCTCAAAGCAGAAATTCCAACACATTAACACTGTTGATTCCCTTAACAAAGATATAATTTATTTCATTTTCATTTCTTCCTGACTATAACATGCTACACGCACTCATAATGCCATTTCATTTTAAGGGGAAGACAATAAGCAGTGTAATTACTACTTTAGTTTCAGATGAAAAACCAATATGTCATGTCAATAATAAGCAATCTGTAATTTCAGAAGAATGCACTTTGTTCAGGTTCTTATTAACCGCCTCTTCAGCCAGAAGCTAAACTTTATTTCTTGCTTTACCTATCAGATAACAAATCTTGTGACCAAATTCTTTTCTAAATGCAGCAGGCAAGGCACCTATTAGTTAAAGTAAAAATATAATCATTATATGCATAAGCATGCTTTGTAAATATAGCTCATCTTTAAAAACAAAGCAGAAGTTAAAATATTTTCTACAATTTAACTTGTCTTTATTACAAGATTCCTGAATTTCCAGGTAGCGGGAATTCCTAATCTCCTCTCCAAAATCTGTAACTGCTTTGCTGTTCATACAAATAGTAAAAAAAATTATACTCAAAACCTAATCAGAAAACAATTTCAAGAAGACAAAACACGTTTTAAAGATTTTTTACCATACAAATACTTTTCACCCAAACAAAAATTTCAAATGGATAAATATGCATATTCACTTCACATGGCTATAGCAACTGAAGCATTATACGACATCCCTTCCTACCTACATAACACTCAAAGCTGGCTTTCACAATAAACCAACCACTAAGAACATCAATATTAATTTTCCAGCTAAGCAATGCATTTTTTATAAAAGCTATAATTTTACTTTTAATATAAAATAATTATAAAAAGATGTAACCAG